GTGTCATGCTAATTAATGAAACGATAAGGCTAATGCTTGCAGCATTGCACAAATAACTCCTGAAGCCTCCCCTTCCTTTCAACACAAAATTCATCCTTAAAGTTCAGCTCTATCCTGCCTTTCCCTGCCTGCTGGCTGTCTGTCCACAGTGGCCTCATGGTAAGAAGGGTCACCAGGGTCCGTGATGGATCAGCAGCAGTGAAAGGGGTCAGATTCCAGGTTGGCAGGGCAAGCTGTGTCATGCCATTAGCTTTTCTTTTGAAAGTTCCAAGATGTCCAGCCCTTTTATTTTATTTTATTTTATTTTATTTATTTATTTTTGAGGACAGCCAAATGGCATTGACCTTAGATGACTGATGGCTGCCACAGACGCAGCTCAGCGGGGCATTGGGCCCTGATGGAGGCCGAGGAAAGAGCAGGGAAGTGTGAGTGTGGAGGTGTCTTGCTTCTCAGCAGCATATTACAGCCAGTGGTTACTGATGGTTTAACATTGCTTTTGAAGCACCCCTGGACTATATATGAAACAAAAGGATTTCAACAGTCAACATCTCTGTTTTTCACTCTTTCACACCCACTGTCTTTCCTTTCTGATTTGAGAATGTGCCTCCCATCCACAACATTGGCATATGTGCCATGAAAGGTGAATGGCGTATGTATCCTGCACCATATGGCTGGAGTTTGAATTGGGAACTGATATGCACAGGAAAAACTGATTCATCCCGCAGCTTGAGCTGCCAGCTCTCTGAAATGAACATTAGGCTCTCAATTTATGCCTGGGCTTTGACTGTAAACGTGTTACAGCTTAACACCCATCCCCATTCTGCTACCATCTACTCCTGTTGTCAGCTGCAGCAAAGAAACAGAGAAATAATTGAAACGTGCCAGCTGTCCCCACTCTTTAGCTATCTTGGCCAGTTTTCTCCTCGTCCACTCCCCCATTAACATCTCTGAGTGACTTACAAAAAATGTCGCCTTGGATCCCTTGTTACCAGCTTGTAGATGCTCGAGGCAGATTAAATAGTGAGAGGGAAAGCAAGCCATTGCAAATTTCTCCTATGATTTTATTATTAGCACAATGATTCAACACTGCTCGGCCCTTCTGTTCTTCTCATACAAAGTCATTTGTCGAAATCACCCTGCCTTTTTTTGTGACTGAATACCTCACAGCAATGAAGTGTTGATTGGCGAGACTATGGTTTCCCGCCTTCTGCCAGTATCTGTTACAGCCATCTTCCACAGTCACTCACTCGTGAGCTAAGCCTTGGCTCTGTGCAGATTGCTTGTCTAGAGAGGTACAAAAACCAAATCATTGTGTGCTCAACCGTCAAGAACATCAGAATATTCTGTCAACCAAAGCCAGCAGGATACAGATCAAGGTAGCGTGTATCCTCACATACCTTCTGCATCTTCCAACATCTTTCGGCAGATATGCCGCTTTATTTAAATATCTGTCTGTTTATGTCCTTATTTTATCAGGGCCCTGACTGTTTATGCTTTGGCAAAACCATGAAGGGAGTGAACCACAGTGTTTGCCTAGTAAATGAGAACATCCAGTGGCCTTAAGCTTCTCTTACCCCCCGAACCCCCCATCACAGGGAGAATTTACATACCCTCATATCTAATCTGAAAAGGCTTTTTGCATACAGGTTCTATTTCCCTGGCAGTTGTATATACGAACACTGGTGTCTGCAGCAAGCAGGTAATTTATGTAACGCACTGATTTGCATGCACAGCATTCGTTTGCTGAGGGTTTTAGTTGGAGGCCAAATGAGAATATTCTCTAGGGCCCTAATCTCATTCATGAGGTAGTTGGGTCCATTTGCGGGTAGCCAGGTGTCTATTTAAAATAAAATAGTTACAAAAAAAGATTAAAAGTGAATGCTTTTTAAAGGATTTAGGTTTGTAGCTCACAGCTGCCCTTTGGGGCTTCTGTGTGTGTTCTTGACATGGCATGTGTCAACACACTGAGGGATATCCTGGTCACAGAGCCACATTATTTTTTATTGAGGTCTCTTGGATGATGACAGCTAGCTCATCCTATTCCAACTCAGGGCCAAGCCATTCCAAGCAGAGCCATCTGGCTGTGTAAAGGCCACACAGGACCAGATCGGTGCCAGCTCTCCAGATGTTCCACAGGGACAAACAGGGTCACAAGTGAAGGATAGTGGAGGCAGGAACAGCTGTGTAGCGACAATGTGTTCACCCCAGATTCCCCGGTGGACACATCAGTTATCACCAGCAAATCCCAGCGGCCTGTTGTCCGTCTGCTACCTTAGTCCCCCTGTCCCTCATCTGTCCATGAATCCAGCCCCCAACCCGTATCATGACAAACCCAGGCACGTGCACACAGGACAAGGCTCAATTCTCTTGAGTAAGCAGGGCCACAGAAACAACTATGAAAAGATCAATAGTGGGATGAGATGTCATCTGGTGAGCAGACCTTCCAACACCCCCCTAGGGATTGTCCCAGTCCCCCCGGTGCACTAACCCAGCTAAAAGGAGAGGTGGCGGGGTGCCACCCCCCACCACTGGGCTGCCCTCCAACCTTACTCACTTATACCATCTGCTCAGGTTTGCAGGACATGGCTTCAGGACAACGTATTTTTTTGTACAAACACTCGTATGGTATTTGTTTCACATGACTGCCTGTGGCTTGCCTACTCTTTTCCCCAGTATATGATTGCTCGGAAGATGTGTTCCATGTAAAAAAAGAACAAAACAATGCTGATTGTGGTGTTTGTTGAAAAATAGCAGTCGTCTAGCTACATAAGGCCTTTAGGTGACGTGTCAGAGAAGCACTCCTGTCATCTTGTTATCACTGTGTGTTATTTTGCACTCAAAATGGCTGCTGCGGAGATACTCAGAAAAGTAAAGTAACAGTAATCTATCAGGTAAAGCTGTTCATGGCAACATTCCATGACCACTTTAAAGAGCTTTAAAGAGGGAACACACCCTAGCATGTTACCATCATGTATAAAGCAAAGAAGTAAATGAAATTATATATACTTTTGCTTTCTGTAGCAAATTTGGTCTGATTTCTCCCACTTTGTGCTCCCTTCCATTATAATGAAGACATTGGGGCTGTATTTGTGTGTGTGTGCATTATATTCACACTGGAAACTTTTTTGTGTGTGTCACTCTTATATTGTGTGCATTCATGCATGTGTGTCTGTGCATGAATGTCTCAGCTTGCACAGGGTTTTTAATGAGGGATGGGTTGGTCTGAGTTGATACCGCCCTGCCTCCATTAGAGCCCATTAGAATCATCATTAAGATAACCCAGTGCTCGCTGTGGCCCTGGCTTCCCAGCATTAGTATTTGAACCCCATCTCTATCTCCTAGTGGTCGTAGGGAGACTTCCTTCAATATCACTTGCCTCGCATTGTGTCTGGAAGAACAGGTTGCCATGGTAACATCACCCAACGGCGACATTTCTACTGTGGATATTTGCTTCTTCGCCTCTGTTTGTCTGTCTGTGTCTGTCTCTCTGCCTCTGCCTTCAGTCTCCCTGATTCTCCTTCGCTCACAGGAACGAGATTCTGGCACTTTAATCTAAATCCCAGGTCCCTGTGCATCTGGAGATCCATACACCTGTCCCCGGAATTCATTTGAAAGTCATGACACCTTAGCCAGCCCCAGTTCTCCCATAAAATGCACATAGCAAGGCAGGAGGGAGCTTGGCAAATAAAAAAATAAAAGCTCTACCCTGGCTTTTTATTGGTCTTTTTATGGGCGTTAGGATCCTTGAAAGATTAAGCAGGCTGTTAATAGGGACTGGATATTCCATTAGTGGGCTGCATGTCGAGTTCTCCCTGGCTTGACAGCAGCTCCAAGCCCTTCTCATTTTTGTTACCGTCGAGCATGCCCATGGAGCTTTTTTAATTGAGGCACTAGCAAGCCTTCTGACTGAAGGCTGCTGCATCTTAGCTGGAGATTAGAGCCACTTAGAGAGCTTCATTTCCACTGGCTGTCTTGTCTTCCTCTGTCTCTATCTGTCTCTGTCTGCGTGTGAACATTTCCTTCCTCTGATTTGTTATACAAGTTAAAACAAATTCCGCGACTAGCAGCTTAGTCCAGAAGCTATAGCAGTGTATTGTTGCTGTTGCATTGCAATCTCCTCAAACTCAACTTCCCTGTGGCCCATTTTGCTTTTCTTTCAATTTTGGGAGAAGAAGAAGAAGAAGATCACCAAATGTTTTTTTTAAGTGCTGTGAGATTCTTTGTATGTGAAAGGTCTCAAGATGCTGCATTTTCTGCCACTTTCATTTTCTTGCTACAGCATAATTACAATCATTGAATTGCAAAAGCCTAAGTATGAAAAGTCGTTGTTCATTGGAATGCTGATTATAAATGCTCCTTGTCTATTGAAAAGACCCCTGATGAATGGTAAAGACAAAGTGGCCGAGTTCAGAGTGCTTTGCTGTGGTTTCCCAAATCCCATGAAAGATCAAGTAGGGAGGATAGAAAGGCACAGTGGCCAAGATAAGGGGCCACAATCTCTCTTCATAGTACAATTGAAACATAATTATTTCATGCCAGATTGTGTGCTCAGCAAAGCCCTGAATAGGGGCCGACATTTAACTTTAATTAGCTGTGATTTATTCATACTGACTGGATCGCAGGAAAAATTGGATCATCTGATTATAGTTGAGCATGAAAATGACCTGATTAAACACTTAATGGAACCTAGGGAGAAAGAAACAAGAGGAACCTTGGGCAGAAGACACTGGCACGACATTATAAATGAGGAAAAGGAGCTGAGTTTTGCTTATCACTGATCATGTGTTCTCTTCTGAATACACACAGGAGCAAACACCTACCTGTCTATGGCTATTATCTGATTAAGGCATCAGGTGTTTTTGCATCAAACCAGAAAATGACTTGACATCTGAGATAGCTTATTCATAACTGGCACCATCTGAGCAACCATTTCAGATGGGGTTTACTGTTTGTTTTTTTTAACAAGTTTTCTTACATTTTGCTCTCTCTTTTCTCCTCAGGTGTGCCAACGAATGAGAGTCCTGAGTCCAAGACTTCTAGCTCAGCCAAAGTTTCAGGGCTCCAGCGCAGCCAGGAGCAGAGCAACAGTGAGGTGCCCTTTGCGCCTCCTGTGCCCAGCCCCACCCCGGCTTCGGCGCCTACGACCCCGCCACCTCTCAGTGTCAAGCAACAGCAGCAACCTCCACCCTCTGTCCCTACCCCTCCCCTGTTGAGGGCACCACCCCACCCCCAGTCCCACCCTCCTCACCCACACTCCCATCCTCCTCACCCACACTCACTCCAGGAGCCCCGTGTTATTCCTCCCCCACAGCACCACGCACGGCCAGGTATCAGCCACCAGGTGCACCACCCTCTACAATACAACAGCCTTCACGACATCAGGTGAGTTGTTACATGGACATGTTTGCTTACAGGTGCAAGGCTGTGTACGAAAGGAAGCATGTGTGATTAATTTAAAATGGCAACCCACTGAGAAATAGCAGTGAAAATCAACCATAAAAATACAAAAACAAAGAAAATAAACCACTCACTATTTTAGCTGTAATAACACTGATGCTATATTTGTGGCCTATACATCAGCAATTCAACCTCAGATGTTCAGCTGAGGTGTGTTTGTGTAAGACCACTAGAGAGCTGCTGACTTAAAGACCTTTTCAGATAGTATACGTATTGTGTGGCGCATCTCTGCGCTACACCAAGCTGAGCACAGCACAGCACAGCACAGCACAGCACAGCACAAGGTCGCGCGTGCCGTTCTTGCGCGCTGTGATGAAGTTAAAAAAAGTTCAACTTGGGCGCTGCGCTCTGTGACGACACCTTGACGTGTCCAAGCTGATTTTGGTGGACCCACGCCATCTTCTTCTTTGCTGTAGCCCATCTCCTTCTCATCAATAAAACAACTAAAGCCAGAGCTTTTTGCTGACATGTAGATACATACATCGTGCATCCAAGTCCACTGCTTGAAAAATTTGTTAATATCTGCTAACACTTTTTGGTCGCCTAGCAACTGGCCCCCCCCCCAGCACGATTTGCACGTGTGTGCCCTCCTCCCTTGTGCTGCACCCAACCCCCGCAGCGAGCGCAACACATACTGCATCCTGTCTAAAAGCCCTTTAACAATACGGGAGCAGAAATTCACTGTCCAGGGAGATGTCTTCACTTTCACTGTTCTACCTTTTGCACCGGATAATGGTGTCGCATTGCAGAAACCACCACGTTCCTTTAATGTGTTCCTGCCAGTCTACTAGAGCCAGAAAAAAACAAACTGCAGCAATTTCCAAATGAATATAATGTATTTCAATGCCATATGATATTGTACAGTTCTATATTCTACACAATATTGACTGTTTTCCTGTGGATATTGATTTTCTGCCACACAAACTTGCAATAACCAGCTGTCAGATTTACTGTTTTTCATTGAGCAACACTCCAATACATAGAGCGCATTCAACTATTTCCTGCTTCACTTCTTTTTCTCAGATTCTGTCTTCACCTTTTTTTCAGTGTAAGAAGCTTTATTGGAAAATCACTCTCATGTTGTCAAAGCAAAGTGTCAAACATGTTAACAGTAAAACTGAACTAACACATGTATGCAACACATGTACACAATGACATCCTATGTACAAGGTAGTAGTCCTTTCATATAACTGCATTCTGACTGAACACTGAATAAATTCATTATAGTTTGTGATAATAAAATTATTAAGTTATTATTTTTTTAAAGGAGAATTGTATTTTTTCCTGTCTCCTATTAAAACTTCAGCCACAGCAGCAGTCCACTGGGTCTTCCCAAACAACACTTGCCCCCATCCCCTCACCACCACCTCAGCGGGCTCCCATCCTCAGCCCCCGCTTTGCCTCTGTCCATAGCCAATCTCTCTACCTCGCACTATTCCTCCCTACGGAGCCCAGCGCATCGCCATCCGGCCATGTTTGCAGCCCCAGCCACACTGCCTCCGCCACCAACCTTACCAACCAACAGTTTAGTGGTGCCTGGGCACCCAGCCGGCACCCCCTACCCAGGTAAAGCCACTCAGCTCACATGGTAGATGGTCGCTTTAAATTAGGCCCCCATGTAATAGCACACATTCAGGCTGTAAAAGATAATTAACCAGCAAAGTTTGTTGTTCTAAAGCTCTTCCTCTTATTCTGACAGTATTTTCTGAATCTTCAAAGACAAGAAAAAAGTGGCAGTATTGGCTGTGCAAATCTCCACAAGTGTCCAAACATACTGTCAGATTTTTTTTAAGCAATATAAAGCTTTTTCATTAACATATTTAGCTGCATTTTTGAGCATTGATGTGATGCTCTGTAACAGTTTGTATAGTTATGTGGTCATTTTATATTCCAGGGAGCATGTTCAGTTGTACATGTCCAATAAAAATATATATTAACATATACGCAGGCTCCAGGTCATAGGCCAGTGCATATAACCTGGAGAAATTGTATTCGGCTACTAATAATTGGTGGATTTCTTTTTGATGTTAATATCACAAAATATTTGTGGTATGATGTTGAAACTAAACAAGTGTTCATATATGACTTGCTGATCTGGTAAGTGCTCATTTATTACTTTTTTTACTTATTTATCCCTTGACGCTGCACAGTCCAGTGCATGCTAGCATATATTTTCTCTAATGAAGCATGTGGTCATTTTGATACTGCTAAATCAATGTATAATTGAATGGAACAGAAAAGCCTGACATATTCTATTGTTAAAGGAAAACACAAGGCTTTGTCTTGTAATAAAACTATTACTTCATAAATTCTTCCCAGATCCTAAAGCTATAGCAGTTTTAAGACTGTAAGCCAGTTAAAGATTTCCTAAAAGTCAGTGGCATATTTCTTTATTGCTCTGGACATAAATATCAGGAATGTGGTCCACTTAGTGCAGCAGCTACAGATACCTCAAAAAACCAAAGTGCCCCACAAGCAAACCCCATTTTTGCAGTTCAAAATAGAAATAAATCTGTTTGAAATTACAAAGCAGTAGTATGCTGGTTCTCCCACAAGTCACATGTTTGAATGCTAGGTCTTATTTTCACTGGCGGAGAACATCATAGATCAGTTGCTAACATGTACTGTATTTATAGTAGCATAAAAGTTTTAAAAGGATGATGGGGTCACTGTACGAGGGCTTGGATGCATCACTGGAAAATTTCAGCTAACAGCTGGACAGTCATCACAACTGGAGACATCTTGAGCATACTTACAGCAGCATTTTGAAAAATGGCACTCTGATTCAACCTCAACAACCAACAATTATGTTTTCTCTTGCCAACAATATGGGATTTGTTACAACTTCATAGTATGTTCAACAGTTTCATCAAAACAAGCAATTTCTTCGGCACAAGAAGGAAACGTGTCTCCAGCAATGATGGGTGTCTCCCAAATATGTCAGAAATATTCCAGTTGTGCATTGACCTTTTAACAGAGGGCAAGAGTGTGTGTGTTTTCTGCTGGGATGACTCTTGGTTCTCTCTTGTCTTTAGATACCAGCCTGTTGATATCATTCAACCAACCAATCATGTATTGCCAGCCTCATTCGGGGATTCTGATTGGCACATTGTCACAGGCAACTCTCTTACCACCACCAATGAGTCCCCACGTAGAAAACCCTCACAGCATGAGCTGGAGAAACAGAGAATGCCAGGTGACTATTTTCTTTTTTCTCTTCTACCTATGTTGTGAAGACTGACTGGGCGCCCGTGCCTTTTTTTTCTTATGTCCCCCCACTTCCCCCCACCCTCTTTTTCTTTTTTTTTTTCTTTTTTTTTTTTGGTTTTCCTGGCTCTCCTTTCTTGCAGAGCATGACCTCCTGAGGCAGGAGCTGAACAACCGCTTCCTGGTTCAGAGTTCAGAGCGGGGCAGGGGGCCGTCCGCCTCGCCGCTGGCCCCCCCCCCGCCCACCGCACCCCCCATGTTGCGTTCCCAAGCCAGAAATGTGAGGATAAGTAAAAAAAAAACAAAAAACAAAAAGCTCCCAAAACTTCCCACCCCACCACCTGTCACCCAACCCAATCTGCTCTTCAATCAGTTTCTCCCTTTTTTCTTTTTCCCAACATTCACCAAATATGTCCCGTAGCCATAGGAACCCCTCCCTTGAAAGACGATTACTCTGATTCAATTTGAATTGTGCTCTTTGATTTGTGCATACTGTCCTGCCGCTAAAGCCTGACAGCTGACACGGAGCTGGATCCATCACATCACAAATGCTGGGCAGATATGGCCCGCTGACTGCCGCCTCCCTTTACACACACACACACACACACACACACACACACACACACACACAGACATATTAGCTGGTTGACTAGTTCATCCAAGGACATGCTAGTTGCTGCTCAGGTTGGTCAAAGCCAACCCGACACTTTTCTTTTTCATGCTCTGCAACTTCTTCATCCGTAGTGGAATTAGATATAAAACTGTACATCCACAATATGCATCAGTTTTCACAGAGGACCTTTTTCTGACACATGACATGTCTGCCAAACCAGCATTTTCCTTTAAATTATTCATTTTGTTCTTAACTCTGACATAGATTTTGCTGTTCATTGTTTGCTGAGGATCAAAAAAACGGGACTTGCCTGAAGGCTTTTCAATTGTTTGCATATGGATGTTTTTAAATGGTTTTGAATGTTTTCATTTGCCTGTTCACAATGAGCAACAAAGGCACAGTCAAACAAATTGGTGTGTGTGTGTGTGTGTGTGTGTGTGTAGGTGTGCGTCTGAAAATGCATTCATTCCTGCAGATTTGTGGGCTAATCTGTTACTTGTGCACAAGTTCCTTGCCACGTGCATATGTGTGTGTGTGTGTGTGTGTGTGTGTGTGTGTGTGCAAGAGCCAACAGTCGGTCAGATGACTTCATTGCAGATGAAGGCTCGATGACATCACAGCAAAGCTGTTTTGATAGTGTTTCTAATTGCTTCCGTGCTTTGACTGCCATCAAGGCGGGGAGGGGCACACTGGCAGATCTCATATTAGTACAAAGGAAGAAAGGTTATGACTATTCATCCATCATTTCAAATGCACAGCAATCTCTGACAGTCAATTCAGGCCCCATTTGTAGCTTTTTGGCATTAGTCTAATAGGTCTAATCCATCATGTCATGACCTCTGATTAAGAGCCTGTGGTCCCATTAAGGCCCCGCTCCAAGATTATCCCCATCCTGTACATTAGATATCAAAGCCCTGGAATTTATGGCACAATCTCAGATAAGTACAGAGACCATTTAGACGGTTCTTCAGCCAATAGCCACTCATTATGTGGTCTGCTGTTCAGTCCTGACATGGTAGGAATTATATACACTGCTCCAACTTCTCTTTGAAGATGAAAGAGGCGATTTTCCCCATCACGCTAATGCTGGCACTTTGTAGCCCATGATGTACATACCCCCTCCCCCCATCCCTTGCTGTGCTGGTACAGTGGGATTCGAGACTGCCATTACTGTCTTCTGCTGTTTTTTTCCTTTTAATTGAAACTGTGTTGTTACTTAACTTATGCCTTTTCCCCTCCCTTCCTCCCCTAAGTAACAATGCCTTTTTTCTTCTCTTTGGTGCTTGCATAGAGAGGCAGGAGTAATGATGATGTTGTGGTTGTTTTTACTGTCTTGTCATGGAAAGGCAAACCAAGTATGGCCCAGTTGTGCATCCTCTCTCTGTCTTTGTTTCTCTCTCTCTCTCGTTTTTTCTCCTGCTCTCTAGGCACCACATGTCATTTCAACTATGTAACAGCCCTTGCTAATGGCTGTAATTAATGGAATTATGAAGCCTCTATATTTGTTTATTGTTCAAGCAGCTGGCTTGTCAAATGGCAGCCCTGAGTGGCTTTCCTACTCCAGCCCCTTGCCCCTGCCATGTCTTTGGACAAGGAATATCCTTAATTGTTATAAGATGAAATATTAAGCTTTAATTAGCCAAAGCTGTTTACTATAAAACTGTGACAGGCACCATAAATTACAAGGGTTAGAGTTTTTTGTTGTTTTTTTTTTTTACCAGGCTGTAAAGTGGCTGAAATCCCTCTTGTAGCATCAGACATTAAACAGGCAGTGCCTTCAGAGATGCACGGGAACTGTTTAATGAGCTTGGAAGCTGACTCGGCATTTCCTCTCACTAGGCAGTCTGTCTTTGATTTGGACCCACAAACAGGGCCGCCAACACCATTGGTGCCGCTGCTGCTACTTTGTATCCAGATGTGAATGGTCCTACTTCAGCAGAGGGTCCCTGACCCAAACCCTGTGTCTCTAGCAGCAGCCTAGCCAACCCTACACCCACTCCCCCCTCAACCACCCGTGTCGCAGTGCACCCGCACACAGAAACACTGATTCATACCCGCTCATTTTCCTGTTTTATGTAAACCCAAAACATCAGCGCCTGCCAAGAGAGCTTTGTGAAAACACTTGCAAAAAGTATCTGCAAATGGTTTGTGTATTTGTGGAATAGGAATAAGTTACTGTCACTTGTAATTAGCCTGTTTCAAAATAGAGAGCCAGTACTGGCTTGTGAACAGACATACAAAGTCCCCATTCATACATGAGGAAAACATTCTCCGCTCTCCCCCTCCCTTCTGCCCTTCTCAGCTTGCTGACTAGAAGTCCACATGTTGGGGACCAGAAACATTTTTTCTTATAATGACGCAGTTTTTAAATGGCAAATTCCAACTGAGATTACTGTGCTTGGCACAGGTCCTGTCACCAAGTTCCCTCGCATCACTTCAACATTTTAAGGTTATATCAGTTACATACTGATCTGTCATTAATTTGCTCCTAACATTGCAAATGGCATCTATTCAGTTACGTTCCAGCCACGAAATGGTCCCATATATTATTTCACTTATTTTAAGTACAGGCCTGTTTTCTGGACTAAATATTTTTTTAAGTCTGTTTTTCTAACCTGCAAAACAAGCTTACAGTGTACACTATATATATGTACTGTATGTTTAAATCTCCATATACTCCTTTCCAATCTATACCATCAGGGCTTGTTTAAGAAAAAAAAAAAGAAAACCATCGTAGTCAAAATCAATTAGATTCACATTTCTACAAATTTTCCAGTGAATAGAAACAACTGGTTCTGGTTTTAAAGTGGTCTGATTCCCAAGATGGGCCTCCACGCCCAGCCTCTATATGCTCAATTGAAAAATCATGCAGGCTGTCTTCATCTTGGCAGTCGGCTAAAGCGGTCATATTGTTAACAATTTTACTGCCTATCTGACCATGCAGTTGAAGTAAACCCATGACCGGTGCAAGCCAGCTGCTTTACTCCAGGGCTTATTATTCTGAAACTCTACTTATTAATAGTTACAGATGTCAATCATGTATTTTGTTTTTGTGATGTAAAAGTAATGAGACATTATTCTTAAAGAAGGCTTTTACATGATGGATTTTGGTCAAATAAGTCATTCTGTAGATGATTGTTTCCTAATTCTTTTCTCTCTTATCTCCTGCAGTTTGACAAATACACACCCAAACTGGACAATCCATTCATCAGACATTCAAATGTGAGTTTCTCCTCATCCTTTAAATTTAAATTTGTTATTTGCATTTGTTTACACATCAAATATTTGACATATTTGAAGGCTGTAATGAGAGCATTTCTTGTGGTTGTGGTTTTGTGTATGCTTGAATCCTGTACCTTTCTCGGTATGATTTAGTGTTTTGTCTCCCATCCTTCTCTTTTCTCCACAGTTCTTCCCCTCCTATCCCCCCACCATGCCAGGCATGCCCCCGCTGCTTCCACAATCAGGACCCTTCAGCTCACTGCAAGGAGCCTTCCAGCCCAAGGTCAGCCCCATATCCCTACCCTCAACCCACAATCTACTGATAGGCAGAGAATTTAAAGAAGCGTGGGCTCAAAATAAATCATGGAAGTGTGTACACTATTGGGATAGAGGATCAGTAATATCACACAAAAAATGTAAAAGCCCTACTGTATACAGATTTAGGGGTACATAAATGTCCACACATACTCACTATGGAAAATGAATGAAATAATGAAACACTTTGCATGGAAGTGATGTATAACTTTAAGCCACATGACTCACTGAGCCAAGTGTTTGTAGGTTTTCTCAACAGTCACTAAAAGTTACTAACATACGCAGCCAGATACACAGTGTAGTAGTGTTTGGTTGAAATGGAAAAACCTGGATATGTGAGTGCGCTATATGTATGTAAAATAAACATCATGGCAGTGTGTATTTGTAGAAGGAATTAACAAGTGAGGAAAGTTCAGGTCATACACTACATTTACAGGTCAGTAGATGTGTCACCACACAAAACTCCTTCCTGTTGTCTGTCTTTAGTGAGAAAAGCAGTAGGGATCTGTACAGTGAAGATGTAAAACAATACATCTCAGCCCATCCTGTAAAATCCATTATAGTACTCTGTCAGACTTGACTAGACTTGAACCAGGGTCAGAGCTGTGTGCTGACCTGAGCTGTGATAGGCCATGATAGAAAAATGATGTCTGTCTGTTTAGGAGAGCAGTGGAGAGAAGATGTGAGGGATGAGAAGGGGTGGAAGGGTGTCAGTCTGTCTGGCAGATGCCCAGCGGCTGTGACCTAGTGTAAGCTACCAATCAAAGCTGGCCTAAATCCGCTGGCCCTATTCCCAGTGGGCTCGGTCATGGGGGGACCCTTTTGTCGAAGGCCCCTCCAGATGGTTCAAGGAACAGTCTTATGCGTCTAAAGCCCCTGCTAAGTATTCTTGAAGAGGAGCTTAGGGGGAAGGGCTTGGGGATGGATGTTTATTGTGGGGGCTGATGACCCAGGTCACCCTGCAGGATTTTCCGATCCCTGGTGTAGGGATGGATTAATAAGGCTGATCTAGGCACTCCAGTGACTTCAGGAGGAGATCAGAGATGTGTTACTCGGGTATGGCTCAGTGCCTGCAGTTTTATCTGTAACGTCAGCTATATAGTAGCAGTAGAGGAGGATTAGCAAGCTATAGTACCACTGTGTCGGAGTTTATAAGGTTAGAGTGATGCTGGCATCTCTAGTCCAAGGACCTAGTAGTTGTTTTAGGGCAGAGTTTCTGACATGCTTCCATGCCACAGACACCCATCTAGAACAAGGACACCAGACTTGAGATTTATTAGTTGCAGGTTTCTGAGCATATAATAGTGTAAAAACTTGGATTACATTAGTCATTCTTATTCATTCTTTAAAGGGGATATTTCATACAGAAAAAATTAAAGTCCTTTACTGAGAACGCCCTTGAGGACGCCTCAGTCCCCATTTTAGATACATTATGAGTCACATTACCTCTTAAGATTGTGCATACAGTAGTATACAGTATGTCACAGGTCTGTTTTGTCTGCCTCTATGTAAATGTTCATTAACTGATTTAACTACCGTAGATCTTTGACCACAATCCATCTCATTCCTTCTGTCTCTTTCTCTCTGTTAGGCATCTAACCCCATTGACGTAGCAGCACGTCCGGGAGCAGTACCTCACACACTCCTGCAGAAGGATCCACGGGTAAGTGTGAGGCCATTTCCGAAACAGTCTCCTCCTATTCGCTTCCTCCTGGTTAATGCCTTGTGTCTGAAATGTGAATGCATGCATTTGCATTTACATCTTTTTGAGACAAGCCATTCCTCATGCATCTCCATGGGATTCATTTATAAAGTGTCTACAGAGCTCAGCAGAGCTGCATGTTTTGGCAACATATCTTTGCTGCTGAGGATAATGACTGTCTGTTTGTCCATACAGATAACAGACCCATTCAGGACACCTGTAAGGGTAAGTCTTGTCCATGTTCTTTTAAATGTTTTATCTCTCTGGCCAGGCCACAAAGTCTAAAACTGCACATTCTTCAACTCTTCCTGCAGGGTTTTGGTTGCATTTAAGGTTAGCTTTGAGGACTCTACTGGGTTAAAGTCAGGGTTAGATTTTCCTTCATTTGTTGCCTGGTTAAAAGTTCTGACGAGCTCCCACTTTGTAGTTTGGCCAGAAAATCTCAATGCCAGAATCAATTTTTAGCTCTGCATATCAAGCCATCCGGCTAACCTCAGTTTCTCTCTAAATTTTTAGAAACCTGGCAAGTGGTGTGCAGTGCATGTCCAGATCGCATGGCAGATCTACCACCACCAGCAGAAAATGAAGGTGCGTTAGATGGATAATGGTGTCTTTCAGGAATCTTGCTGTCCTGTAAAACCAGATAGTTCATTGGTAATGGAATCGTGATCTAAACAACATATATATAGCAGGGCTGATCTTTACCTATAAAATAACCTATAGTCATGTTACTGGATTCAGAAAGACCATAATGGTGAGAAAAGTGATGACACAAAAAGTGACTAATTTTGTAGTTGAAAAAAATAGTTGTGCTGACAAAGTGCAACATGTGAACACAGATTTAAAAAATGCTTGTGTGGAAATCATCCTCTCACTGACAGAGGATGGTGTGGCCTCGCCATGGAGATCATCTGCTAATGCCACTGGCCCGGTGTGTCAGTCCTTCTTTGGCTCTGAACCCCCTTTTGTGTCCCTAATCAGCTTACATATATATATTATATCACAGCTGGCCAACACTGAATACATGGAGCCATTCTTGTAATAAGTGTCTTCCTCTGATCCCCTCACCCAGTATAGCTGAGGATAAATCCCTCTTGCTCTGTAGTGTTTGGCACTGCTGCATACCGACTGCCTCCCTCTTTTTGTCTCTGCCCCTCTTGACTATAGCAAATGCAGCTGGATCCCCACAAACTAGACATGAATGGGAAGCTGGACTTGTTCAGTCGACCCCCAGCTCCAGGAATCTTTCCAGGATTCCCGTACCCTCATGACCTGGCACGACCCCTCTTCTCTTCCACAGGTCAGTAGCGCCCCTCAGTACCCAACACAGGGTGATGATCCGCACCTTCGTTGACTAATCATTCAAAACACTCACACTTCTCAGAGCCTTCCAATGGCATGCCTGTCTTTATGCAAATAAGCATTTATAGCCACATGTCAAAATTGTTCCTCCACTGTTGGAATAAAATGGCATAATTTTTTCTCACCTCTCATGTAATTATAGGTCTTTTGTAGCAAATGTTTTGCCAGTAAAGGGAGTCAGATACGTCTATGAATATGGATGACTCTCAGTTAGGTAATTGACTGATTTGCCCTGTGTTGGAGGGCAACAGAGAGGCAAACGGCCTTTGACTGGTAATTATGCAGTGGTGTGTCGGAGGCACTCCTGTAATTGGTTGTTTCATTAACAATTCATGGAATATGGGTGAAGGTAACAGCATTTTGTGAACGAGGCCAGCTTGTTGCACAGTCAGGAACTGACCTCAATAAGCAGCTGTAGACTTACACACAAACAACAACAGCTGCAATAAAAGCAAAATATCAATTGCTAATTTGCTGAATGCTGATACTCTGCTTACATGCACAATATATTCAGCAAGCTTGTGTTGCTGTTACAGAAGAATACCTCATATCTGCATTTTTAGTTATGGCTAATCACGGGGTAAGAATTTTAACTGTTGTTGATGGAAAGTAATTTTCTCTCTGCATGCCTAATTAGAGTGTTTATGACTGTCTGATTGAATAATAATAGCATTCTTATTTCCTTTCTGCCCTGACAGGCTCCGGCCACCCAGCTCCCTCCCCATATGGCCCTGCCCCACACCCCAGCGGCTTCCTGCCTCCTAGCCATTTGGCAGGTAAGTGTAAGTAATCCCATGTTCAGATTTTTTTATACAGTTTTCTCCTATAAATCTCTCTCTCACTTACTCTCTCTTTTGCACTCATTTTTTAAAGATGTTACAAGTCACCAGAGTGTAATCTGAAGCCTAGATCTTTATAGATCTGTTCTCAGGTTCATGTGAAGGTTACTGTGGAACCCAGTGGTTAGCTGGTCACAACACTTCTTGAGCAAGTTCTTAGTAATGGAAAGTGTAGCCATCATATAATCAGACATCAGATATCTGTCTGAGGTTATTCAAAAGACAGCCAACGTAGTGTTCACTAGTGATGTCTATTTTTCAGCCCTCATTTGTTTAAACAAGCTAAATGCAGTGCAGCAGCATATATGACACATGAGCTTCCAAAGTTGATTTTGTAATTCATAGGAGTAGGATACTGTAGTTATTGTTGCTGGATTTATTTGTGCATTTAATCATTTTTATTCATTCATATATTTTCCATCATTCTATCTGAGATGCTGTAGAGGTTCAGAGTGGCAAGCCGATTTCATGGAATAAGCCCTTGAGTCAATTGATTTTGTGCTTATGAATACACTGTGCACTGAGGAGGAAGATTTAGTGAACAAAATTTCCCTGCCCAGAGAGTTCATGTGTGACGCAGAGGAGACGTCTCAGTTGTTGTGTTTTCTGATATATTAACAAGCCCCAGAACTGAAAATCCTTAAACCGTGATCTGTTGATAAGGTCTGCATTTCCTGGTGGATTTTTGCTGAATTAAAATGGAACCGCAAATTATCAGGTAATGATTGTTGTTTAGTGACTTCTCAGGGTAAACGTTTGTGCTATTACTAAGAATTTGGAGGCTCTAGTCTGTGTCAGTGGAGCCTATCAGGCATGGTTTCTTCAGCTAAATCATTGTGGTCTGTCTAGTCTAATTTGTACAGCTTTTCATTCCCCTGCCATATCATAGTCCATTTCAGCTCAGCTCCTACAACTCAGAAGTAATTTCCCTATCAGGCAGTGTTGATCCAGCAGCCCCAGCAGGGTCAGAGACACTCCACGCCAGCTAGTGGCAATGAATTCAGCATCCAGGCAACCTGGCTACTGCAGAATTATCAGGCAAAGAGCTTGGGTGGCAGCGCTAAAAAAACCACAGCTTGCTTGTAAGAGAAAAGCCGAGTGGAACGGGTTGGTGTTGGGGTGAGCACCGTTAGCCAGCCCCCCTTTTGCTAATCCCTGTTTGGCATTTTGCAGATCCTTTCAGTCGCTCCAGTTCCTTTGGCGGCCTCGGCAACCTTTCAAGCAGTGCCTTCGGAGGATTAGGCAACCCCTCGCTTGGTAAGCGCTGGCCCCCCTCCTCCTCCTCCACCGCTCCCCCCTTTCAATCTGGCCCCTGTGGCCAGGGACAGAACAGAGCGAGACAGCGTTAGGCCACAGGGACAGCCAGGAGGGGAGGAAAAAATCAAGCTCTGGTTTCTGTGTCAAAGCAGTACTAGCCCATGGAGGCCCAACAAGGCAGCACAACACAGCACAGCAAACCTCCTCCCTGCCTTCACTTTACCCATCAGCCATGTCTCCAGCAGACTGGCTTTAATCTGGCTGCTTTACTGCCAACAGGCACTCTTAGGTCTGCTGTTTGGTGGCAATTCATCTGTTAATTATTTGACAAGCCCCTTCTGCACTACCATGGAGAGTTTTCTCTTTTCCTGCTGCATCCTCTTTATGCCTTTCTCTTCATTCCTCCTATTTCTGTGTGCCAAATCGGTCGCCCTGTTGTGAAAATGGATGTGATAGGAATAGACATGCTGTGGAATGCTAAGGTCTCCCTTGGCTTTTCACAGCCCTCAACTCTGGAGGGCAAGTGAGTCTCCCCTGTTCTTCTGGTGCAAAAAAGGAAGGGGGAAGAAGCCTTTTAGTCCAAAAGCAAATGAGTAGAGTGTTTTTTTTTCACTGGTGGGGGAAGCCATTAACCTCTAACTTTTTCAAACAGCTTCAGTGAGAAAACCTCCAGAGACAAAGACAAAAGCAGCTTTTGTTGTTGAGTCTTTCATATTTTATGTGTCCTCAAGAAGGTTTTGTGCCCAATTAACTTAAAGTGGGTCCCACGCCTTGTCTCCCCCTTTCCCTCCAGGGTCCAATAGTGTGTTTGGCACCAAGGACGGGCCAGGAGGACTGCCCACATTTGGCAGCCCCCATCATGACACCTGGAACAGGCTTCGACGAACCCCACCATCTTTCCCCACTCCGCCACAGTGGCCCAAAACTGCAGAGGCTGAGAGAAGCAGCTCAGCCAACAGCCATGAGAGAGAGCGAGAAAGGGAACGGGAACGGGAGAGAGAAAGGGAGAAGGAAAGAGAGAAAAGAGACTCATCCACTGGGAAAGAGGAGAAAGATAAAGACAGGTGAGTTTGATGTATACTTTTAAGTATTATTTGAAGGCTCTCAGCTTTAAAGGAGAGGGCCACTCATTTCTGTATTAATAGTATCTTCAGCAATCTCCATGCAGAGACTAAAACCACCAATGAATTGCCTCTACTGACGATTAATGTCCTTCAGTCTGTCTGTCCTGAATCAACTTGTTCTTCTGTGCCATAGACCTCCATTGATGTTCAAAAATGACTAAAACCACATCACTGAAACACAATGCTGCACTGGGTGACATATTCCTTCATTAGCAAACCCCAGACCTGAGTGTGAATAGCTGGCAAAAGGTAACAAAACAGGGAGCTCAAGCAGTTGACTCTGCCCCATGTTCACTTCAGGAAATTATGGCTGCACAGAGCCTGTGGGGCAACATAGGCGAGTCTTGGGATTCTTAAAAAAAAAAAAAAACGTGTCACCCAGTGAAGCAGTGTGTTTCATTGATATGTTTTTAATCATTTCTGAACTGAGATCTATCACACAGACAAACAAGCTAATCCAGGACTGGCAAACCGATGGACATTAACCATGAGTTAATTGGCAGTTTTAGTCTCTGACTGGAGCTGAAAATACTAATAATATAAAAAAAATGACCAACCTTGTCCTTTAAATTTAGTCAATGAAAAATAAAGTCTGCAATAGTACAGTGGCTCTAAATGTTCACAATTAACCATAACCTTAGACTTCACTTTGCTGTGTTGTTTCAAAGTTTGTGATTCCCCAAAGAAGGTAACAAATCTGATCATCTTATAGCAAATGGTAATGTTAATAAAAATTGTGAATATTTGTATACACATAACAGACCTGACCACACAAGTGCACAGATACTTGATAACAATTTTAAAGACATGGCTACAGTAGTCATCCTTTTTCCAGCTAACATTAGCTCATGTACAAAATGATGAAATGATGTTAGGACAAAATGAAAACACTTCAGCTCTGGAGATAGATTTACTGTTCAAGACAAAAGATGTGCCAAGTGTGGCAATTCTCCAGTCTATTAGCAGTATCCTTGGAAAGTGTAATACATTATCTGTCCAACAAGGAAACAGATACAGATCAAACAGGTAACAAGCAGCTCTGAGAGAAGCTAGAGAATTTAACTCAGATTTTATTGTGGAAATGTAATTAAGTTAAATTATGCTTAAGTACAACCCACCTACATGATGCTTGTTTTAACTGGCACCAACTAAAGTTGTATTATGTGATTACAGGGATTCTGTGGATCGCAACCGGCACTCCAACCGTTCATCTCCGGCCTCTGCACCAGTCAGCTACCAGATCAGCAGCCTGATTCGATCAAACAGCCAGAACTCCAGTGATTCGGGGCGGCATCACAGTGGCAGCGTAGACCGGATTCGTGAGGTCGAGAAAGAACTTTTGGAGCGCCACAGAGAGTCCTCCACACTGGCTGATGTGAAGGTGAAGGAGAGCCGCTCGCCTAGCAAGGAGATGCTAGAAAGGAGACCCTCCGAAGATTCCATCAAACCCACTCAACGTTCTCCTTCTCCATACTCCAAGGCAGTGATTAGTGAGCAGGGTATGAAGATGGCAGGTGGGCCCCCACCTACCCTCAAGGACGGCGAAAGGAAAGAGCCCCCACCTGCAGAGCTCCTCCACAAGGTGAAAAATGACATGAAGATTAAGGAGGAGAGAAAGGAGGAGCAGGAGGTCATGGTGGTGAGTTCCGAACCTGCTCCGCAGCTACCAGCCCAAGCTCTTCCTGCTCCCATTAGCCAACCTGGAAATCCACACCACCACCACCCACCTTTGTCTCAGCAGCACCCTCTACCCTCACCACGTGGCAGTGACATCCCAGCACCTGGCCTACATGGTGTCCCCATGGCACACTCTCTGCCCCTTTCCATGAGTGCGATGCCCCAGATGGGCAGCCTCAATGTGCTAGACCGGGCTCGCATGGCTCCTTTCATGGCCCCTTAGAGAGGCCTACCGTAGCCTGGACCTGCAGCGGCGCATGGACTTCCAGCTCAGGGCCGAGCAAGGACATCGCTTCCCCAGCATCTACGAACAGGAGCGAGCCTACCGTGAGAGGGAGGCTCATGACTACTCTCACCACGAGCACTTGCTGGAGGTGCGTAGGGAGCATGAGAGGATGAGACAGCAGGCCGAGGAGCGAGAGCGTTTCCACCTGAGGGAGGAGCTGGACAGAGCACGTCTCCATCAGCTGCACCAGTCTCCCATGGAGGGCCATCTACCCCACATGCCTCCCTTCATGCCCCTAGGTGGCATGCCCTACCCTAGACTCAGCCCCTCCACTGGACACAATGGCCCTCTGAACAGAACACCTCCTACTGCTGCACTCAGTGCACCCCCGCCCCTTGTGCCAGCCGGCAGTGCCAGGTCAGCCTCACCCAGGAGGACTACCCCCCTCACCACCACACAAGACCCACGGGACTACTCCCCATCTCGCAACCCCAAGGAGGTAGAGGCTCGGTAGCTTCTTAGTAAAGTGTACCGGGTCTTACTAGATGCACTCTCAAGCCCCACTCCCCTAATCCAAAACTTCTTGTGAACATAATTCACCACTCTTCTCCAGAGAAGAGCAAAACTCCCTAAGGGAAAGGGTATGATTGTACAAAGTAAAGGTGTGTATGGCTGATTAAGCACATGCCATGACTTTATTTTTAGTGGACTGGAGGTTGAATAATGTCGGTAATGAAAACACAAATATGTGTATGTTTATATCTGACTTAAATATTTGATAATTATTAATATATTAATCCAATACTTTTTTCAGCTTTGTGCAAAAAGAGAGGTCCTGAAATGAATTTGTACATTTCCTATCCTTGTTCCATGTATAGATATCATTTCTATGAATTTTATGTATTTTGTGCATTAGTCACGCCTTTTACAATATTTATCCCAGTTGATTGTGAGACATATCCATTATGACCCACTGTAAAGACTGGACTTTGGTTTCAACCTTCAGTAATTTAACCTCATGGTACCAGGATATCCTCAATTATGACAATGTACAATGTTACATTACCGATTTGTTTTGTTCTTTTGTTTTGCCTTTGAGATATGCAGATAACTATATACAGTATTATGAGGTCTTTGTTCAGTCTCTGTAAAGAAATCTGATGTAAATAACTTGTTGATATTCCTTCGCTGCAAAATTACTGTGTAAATTTATTAGGCTTTTTAACCATTTCTAGAAAAACAAAATTTAATGAAATATAGGGAATTGCTTCCCTGTTGAATATGGTAACAGACAAGCCTGGCCAATGAATGGAAAGTATGATAGGAGGGTGTTGTAAAGGGGGCCTAGAAGGATCATCTGCAATCTATGCAAAGCAGCACACAGCACCCTAAAGAAGAGATCACCTGGAGTGAGCAGGCAATACTGGTGATACTGAGAGAAACTTGGATTAACACGTCTATATGTACCAATGAAGTAATGATGGGTTTACTGAAAGACTTCCAAGTCACAAACTGGACCAGCCCCAGACAGAAAAAGGAGGAGACTTTTTAGTGGGCAGCAAAAGAACTTTCTCTGTCAACCTTGTGGTGTTGTGCAGTTGTTTTTCTTAGACTCTTGTATACAAAACAAGTAGAGTATTAGGCGTGCAAAAAAAATGAAAATGAACATTCATGGTTTAAAATGTACGGAATAAAGTTTGGACCTAGTGTCATACATGTGCTCTTGGCCCTTAATCCTGGTTCTAACTGTCAGTGCTAACTGGAAGTACTGAGTTTGTCTGTAAGGCAAACCTGTTGAGTGGAATGTTGATGTGAGGTTGATAGGTTTGCCAATAATGCTTGTGCCTCACTTTCAGCATTTAGAGTATTTGCTCATCTGATATCAAGCTATTACTTTGAAATCATAAAGGCAACAGACTTGGCTGCCAGAGTAGCCAAGTCATCAGATCATTTGACTGTAATCTGTCATACATGGGCTGCAGAGCTCTCCAAAGGGGATCAATGAGATTGGGCCAAGGTAATACAGGGAGGGACTAATAGGACATTGATTCTGTATGAAAGCGGGTTTTGAGTGTTTGTGTTGCAGGTAACCGGTATTGACTGGCAGCCCAGCAGCATATTGACCCGTGGTCTGTACTCATTAAGAAGAGCAACGCCTGGGAGGTAGGCTATCGGATGGCGGAGGAGAGGCTCCTATCTCTTCTCACACACCTCCTCTCATCATGCACACCACTCATCTGCTTTTCTAATGAGACCGGAAGGCACCCCTGGAGTGAGCCACAGAGGGAGGCCTGAGGCGCTCCATCCCATTATTGACAAGACCTCGGCTGTGCTTTCCGCCTGTCCAGAGACAGCCAATTCATCCTGATAATGCCCCAACTACTCATCTCGCTGCTGTGTGCCGTGAGACCCACCGAGCCTCTCCCGTGGTACCAGCCCATAATGACAGCGTGGATCAAACCATGGCCAGGTCATTAAGGGATGTTACTGAAAATCAATGCTGATCCTGTGTCTCACACACTCCAGCAGGGTTTTTTTTAAAGGTCCCCTTGAAAAGACTGCCAGAATGGGGTTGGCGTATTGGGAAGACTTAAATGACCATCACTTTCAATTTAGGCTCCCAGTAATTGAGCCACATATTCCTCCGACGGGTAGCATCTGTCAGTGGCCAGCTTCACTTTAGCTCTTTGTGCTTCTAGTCCTAATCATCTAGTCAACAACAGGTACTTAACCCCTGTACTTGTTATCGCATAGTGATTTTTTTTTTTCCTATAACTATTATTTACCAAGCAAGCTTTGGTAGAAGAAAAACACACACCTTACATATCCCCTCAACTCCATCATTCTGTCCTGTGCTCTCGCCATTTTACGGCTGAGTGTAGAACAGCCCTCCGGAGATGAAAAGCTCCATCAATTTCACTCATCGTCTGGCAAGGTCAATTTATTTCAGCACACAGTCCATCATCAGATGGGAATCAATTGACACATTGCCTAGCATATCCAACCCAAGGTGGGTTATTACAGCATCTGCAATTGTCAGCTCTTTTTCAGAGCTATTTTTCACATGTCCTGGCTTTTTTTTTTTTTTTTGCATTGTTTATGATTTGCTATATTTCTTAATAATTTGGAGCATTTCCTATTTGATGGAACATTGTTACTATGATAGGGTTTCATGTAACAGCTTGTCACAAAAAAGCAAATGTGACACAAGACTGTGTTTTGTTTTACATATTTCTCCACTATAATCCCAATTAATAGGATACAGTGGAATATGAGGTAAGACATTGTTTTGTTGTTCCACTAATCCAATTCATTTATCTGTGGGAAACCTCAGTGCTGAGGGGTTAGGATTGAATTTTCATGGTCTCAAATATGTCCAAAAAGCGCTTGGCACAGAGTTCACCCCTGATTCAATGAACAGTGGAACAGGCCTAAGGGGCTTCTATAGAGCACAATGGCAGCTAAAAACACAGTGCCAAGTTAATAAGATGGGCAACAAATGAATGGTTCAGTCCAAGCTCCTTTTCTCTCTTGCACTCTCTTCCCCCGCTGATAAAATGTATGAAAGTGTTTTTGAGCCACAGTGCAGTGGCTCTCGAGACTTTTCCCCCAGCAAGAGCTAATGCATTAGTTCCCATTTGAAGGCTGTTTGGAAATGGAGATTGGAAATGAAACAGGAGGCCCCCAGCATGATCACATTTGGATTGCTGGGGCCTCCGCTGGGCCTGGTGATTTGGGAGACCGTAACTCTGCTTGGAGTTCAAGCCCATCTCTCCATAGGGGTTAGCAAATCCTGATGAGAGCCATTCTAAACCACTAAACTATATCTGAACTGTGAACTGAAGGATAGAGCACCGAGTCAAGGGCTTTGGCAGTGTATCCCTGTCACAGCACTCTTTGTAGATTGCATGTTGTTTGACCACCTAAAAAGGCTAACAGCATACATCCTTCCAGGTTGCCATCTTTTTTTAGCCCACAGTGTCAACAGAGCGGCAGCTGACACAGACCAGGCCAGTCAGTGGTTAAGGAGCTGACTTGGAAACATCCAAATGGTGTGAATTCCATACTGTGGTGACAAAGTGCTGTCTAATGTCTTTGCACCTCTGGACCTGACAAATATTCCGGCTGTCTCACACCACCTCTACCATATCTGTACAAGGAGCCCAGGAGAAGAATATACTGCAAATCACTATCGGAGGGAAGCTCAGAGAGCACGATGTGAGACGGGGAGGAACTGAAGAGAATTAAGAGAGATGGAAAAGGAGGAGGTCCAGAACAGCCACCAGCCAAAATAAGTTTTCCAGTTTGATTCAATTTCGAGGATTTTTCCATCCTTTAGTGGAACCTCACAATCTCCCACACTGGCCATATTATGTACACAAACCATAAAAAAGGAATAACATTTATGCAGCTGGGTGCATCTGGCAGTGATAGTCCTCTCATTCAGAGGCCCACAGGATGGCACTGTGCCTCCACACCACTGTCTCTGTTCTATGTATGGGCACTAAACAAGAGACGACTTAGGGGAGAGGTGGGTGGTGTAAAGGGAGGCTCTCAGATGCTGGGAATGAGTTAAAAGAGAGAGAGAGAGGGAGAGAAAGAGAGAAATTTCAAGGCAAATGGAGGCCATACGTGGCTCGTCCAATTTGGCACAGCCGATGCGCATGATTAGCCGTAGAGACATTAATCAAAAGTGGCTCAGTATTTGAAGGGGTGGTGAGAGGCACTGCCAGCTGGTGACAACATGGCTTGTGTGCACGGGCCAAGAGTGAAGTTTATTTGAATATGGATCTTGCCGTGACCGTATTTCTCCAGAGCTCAGTTAACAGAGCGTTCCCTGGCTCATCACTGGGATCGCCTCAGAGCCGTTTGGCTCTCAGGACGGCGGAAGTTTATCCAAGCCACAGAATGAGAATTACGATTTAGTCCATCCCCTCTGGTGGTGTGGGCATATTCATAAGCATTTATTCAGTTTGACGCTGGCAGAGATGCAACACCTAGTTCTTGGCATCTATGTGGGAGGATTTCCTTTCCAATATGAAATTATGAAATTGACAAAAAAGTTGTTTTTACAGCCTGTGAATTAATAAAAATAAAACAGCCTATCTTTCCACATAAAACGGTGCAATTTCTCTACTGAAAACATGATGCTTTTAATAAAATGTCAGTTTTCCCCTGACTTTGAATAAGACCAGCAACAGCACCGAGTCTGCTTTGTTGTGAACCACGGTGGGTTTTCTTTTGTTTGAGTCAAATAAATCACCAGCTACCTGAGTTATGCTCTTTAGCTGGTCGAATAGGGTAGTGTTTAGTTAGTAGTAGTTTGCCAGTGCTGTTATTTTAAGCATTAGAATTCTATTCAAAATGTTTTGGATAAGCCACTACAGCTTTGGGAACCTAAACAACAAACCTAAACCAGGTTGTGTGTATAGTAGTTGATTCGAATATGAGTTATCTTGTGAACATGCAGCCCTGACTCCTAGAAGTCACATTTAAATACAGCTTACTTTCAACAGCAAATACATTTGGAAGGAAATGTAATTGTTACTGATTTAAGTTTCAGATTAGATTGGAAGGAAATGTTAATTGTAATTTGCAGTTCACAAATGCTGAACATATTGTGAAATGTTCATGGACAACATTTTAGTTTGCTGTCAAAATATACGATTTTATATACACCAGCATTAGTGAACTTTGCTTTGGTTATGTTAAGGCATTCACTGCACTTGTTTATTTACATTCAGCCAAGACCACGATCTTTCCCTGACCTTAACCAAAGTGCTTTTAGTGCCTGAGCATAACCACAGGCAGGACTGTAGATGCACACTCCAGACTCTGATGTGACAACTGTGAGCTCTCATCACCTGCCAGCCACCCCAGCAACCCTGCTGCAATTAATAACTGTAGGGCCTCATTAATTTAAAAAACTTCAGTGTTCATTATGTAGGGCGCAGGAAAGATTTCAGAGTTAGAGCTGACTCAGATGCTAGCTATCTTAAACATTAGCTATAATGTAATATACATCTTGGCTTATATTGAAAGATTTTATAGTGTTGTGTATAGTTATAGTTTATAGTTTTATATCTAACTTTAAAGTGAGTAATAGCTACTTTTTAAGTTTGATAAGTTTATAAAGATACCATTTTGATATTGGCATCCATGTTCAGGTAGCACATAGCCAAGTTATGTCAACAGCCAGGTTGCTCAGTGGCAGCAAACTATATACCATACAGTGCTATACAGAAAACAATGCCATGTTGATTCATGCTGTTTTTATCTGGAACTTAATACTTCTGTCATTTTCTGTGGCATTAGGCTGCTATCACACACTCAAGCTTGCCACTGTGTTTGTGTGAAACAATCGGAAAAAAAAATGCTCTAAAACTTTAGAACTGCTGCTACTATTTTATGAAATACATATTTTTCCCAGTTTGATACTGTGTTAAGTTATTATCTTGTGTGAGGTCATTATTTTGATGCATCCTTCAGCACAGGAAGGTAAATGTTACTTTGCACAGAATGGCTAGACTTCAACAAGTTATAAGCTTTGCTTGCAAAAATGGCCTTAAAAAGGTGGAGAAGGGCAAGTAGATCATCTTCTTTATGAGGCCAACTTCCACAAGGTTTCTCAGCATTCCAAGCCTGACTTTCCCTGCCTCCCATGCTTCTTTGGAAATTTGTCTGGCAGCAAACATGCTTTGAAAG